AAATTTTTATAACACATTGGAAAATTACACGCACATGAGAAGATCTATCGTTGCTTTGTTGTTTGCTTTAATTGGTCCTGTGAAATGACTTCTTCCATAAAATACCAGTAAAAAATGGATGGTAATAGTCACCCCGAATGGTTTTTTTAATGTCTATTTATTTTAAATTTTTGTGCCGTTTACTTCGGCGTCGGCAAATATTTCTACAAGGTTGTCCGTCTTTCAACTTTGCGAACTGGGAGCCAGATTTCTATTTCGGAAGATTTTTCTCCGCTTTTTTCCATCTCGACAAGTTCTTCTTCATTTTTTCAAGTGTGCCGATTTTAAAATTTGGAATTTTTTGATTGTCTATATCTCAGAAATTTGTAACTTTTTTTACTAGGTGAATTTTTTCCTCCGACATGACGAGGTGTCGCGACTAGAATTACCTTGTTTTAATTCAAATAACATTTAGTTCAATTTGTACGCTTTACGTACCTATGATTGACATCGTGTGATAATTCGAGACCTCGTGGTGTTTGTTGTCTTTTTGGTTTTTGGTTTAGTCGCCATTTTCTTTTCGTTCAATGTAAAGTTTCGTTGGAATCAAATACAGTTCTTACACATCGAAGAACGTTTGGTTAGTGTAGTGATTACTTTAGGTGACACGAGGATTGCTGAGCGTTCCACTACATTATGCGTCTTTTCATCGTCTATAAACTGACTTACGATAGTTTTCGATCAAGGAACGCGCTATAATTTCTACAGCTATTGGAAACATTTAAATTACACCAAATTATTTCGCTCGAATAGCCCTGCCCTAGAAGAACTATAACACGTTCTGGTCTTTACACATAACTGTCCCTGTAATCTTATAGTAGCTGTTAAGAGTACATAAGTCAATATATATTTCTGAAGGGAATAATTTTTCTTATTTACCAGATTTCGTGACGCATCCCAGGAGTTTGACGACATAAGGATGAGGTTTAAGTTGTTTCATCAATTCAAGCTCAGACTGTAACTGCTTCTTGTCTGATTCAGAAGCGTGGTCTGTAAGAAACCCAAAACTCATTAAATTTCATAACAAACTGCTGCATAAGAATCTAGATTTACAGCATGAGACATATCTCCTCAGAATGCTGCTGTGCAATTAGAGGCAAGTTTCCAAAGGTTCAAATCCTCACCAAAGAGTTGAAAACTTACTAACAAGTGCATAGAGCAATTTTAAAATTTAGAGACAACGTCAGTGAATACTGCAACAGTAGGTTCACTTTGCTAGATGGTTTAGAAGGGAATACGCGCGGACATTTCGCTTAGAAGAAAAATACGAGAAATGAGCTGAAAGCAAAGCTGATGAGCTTTGAGGTTCTTTGTTTTTTCAAAGAAAAAAAAAAGTCAAGCCTAAGAAGAGAGTGAAAAAAAACAAAGTTTGGATTGTTCAGCCCGGCCAATTTAGTTGTCCGCTCTCCATCTGTAATTTGTGCACAATACAGCGTAATCCCGAGGTATTTTGTGCGAGATCCATTGCCCTGCAATGGTTAAATGGCGTAGAAGTGAAATAACAATACGGATAAAAACAGTCACTGTGATGAACGCTAAACTAACAGCATCAATTAAACAATACCACTGAATTGTGCCACCACAATATAAAGTAATCGATACCTTTCAACATTTTAACAGCAACTAGCGTTTTATTGGGACTTTCATGAAGCCCTGTCACCGTTGCCTTGGCAACTTGACCAAAGGCACCTTTACCCACGACCTCCTTTAAGGTCACTTTGTAACTAGCAATTTCCCAGCAGCGTGTGGATGGACTAAGAGAAGCGTATTCGCTTTTTAGTTCGGCGCAGTGTGGAGTGTTTATCAGTAAGGTTTGCGAGGTGTCTTCTGATCGAGTCATCTCATTCAATTCTGCATACTGGCTTGGTGAATGATCAATCATTTCAAGGGCAGTCTGCCGGAAAAAAGCTGATTCAATAAAAAAATCACCTCAACTTACCATACGTCAAAATAATCTATATAAACAATCTTTTTCACTCTGAATTTAAACAATATGAAACAAAAATTAAGAAATGGATAGCATCATACTCATACTCCATAAGGTGGGTTTATTTAATTGTTTAACTTTGAGTCCAGATGAAAATTTCACAGATATTGACCTTTAGAATGCATAAAAGTCTAAGCGGGCCACTAGTTACTCAGTTGAAGTACTTTCCCGTGTTACCCACGTTAAATAAAGTTCATTGATTGATTGATTGAAGCGTGTACAAGACTTACACTCGCAATGTCTCCTTCTTCCTCAGTTACTTGTTCGTATATCCTAAAACAATACCACAGACAAATGGTGTATCACACCAAGGCAATAACATGCCAGTCACATTAGAACAGTTGTAAAAACACTGAGTACTGGATTTTAGTAGAGGTCTATTCTTAATATAGTAACTCGTTGTGCATGTAAAACGGTTTGTTTGCAGTATGTTCATGGCATTCAATGAACTTGGCCTATGTTTACTTAATTTTAATTTTTTCCTCAAGGAAACCTTAGCCTGAATACTCTATGAAAGTTCAGTTGGTAATAGTTGCTTAACAAAGGACAGCTATGGTCATCAGGTGAAAACCAATAGGCCACGCAGGTCGGAGATACTGTCTCCTCTGCATTTAATAAATCTACCGCTGGCATGTAATTAACTGCGTGTTAAAAACGATTTAGTGACTAATGTAACCAACACATGCTTCATTATGCTTATGAACCGGTAGAAAAATTGGATGAGTATTTCTTGGCAGTTACCTGGATTCCTAGCCATGTCCCTCGGCAGAACAAATTCGAAGTGCAAACAGAAACCGTGAAACGAACAATGATATCATTTCTTAAATTAAACATTGACGAAGAGGACTAACCATAGGTGGTGAG